TCTCTCTCTCTCTCTCTCTCTCTCTCTCTCTCTCTCTCTCTCTCTCTCTCTCTCTCTCTCTCTCTCTCTCTCTCTCTCTCTCTCTTCCCCCGTCCAACCCGCAGCACACTCTCCACTCCTCCCCGGATGCTGCGCACAATCCGCCGCCGTGCCGCACTGTAGTTTGCCGACACTTGCACGTGGCCTAGTTTTCAAAAAAAAAAGCAAAGATGGGGGCGGGCATAGGGCTCAACTGCGCAACATTCTAAATGAATCCGGACTCTTAAGTGATCCCTGAAGATTCAAAATGTGGGATCCGTTGGACTATATCCTGTCTGAGAACAGAACAGATACATGTAGAATGTTGTGCAGTGGAGCGAGACCCAGGGAACCCAAAACAAAGGCCAAAGAAATTGTAGGTTCGTGCCTACTTCCGTCCAAAGGCCTACAAACAACCTGAGTGCAAAGATCGATGATGAGGGCGAAAGAAGGGTGCAGAGCGATGCGGAGCGTGATTTTCACGTGGAGCGTGAAAAAGGCTTCGGTACCATAGAGCCCAGGCATCGGACGCTGTGCAATCGCGGAAAGAAAACTGGTTGGCGCACAGCGTCAGATGAAAACTGAGCTCACGGCAGATGAGATCTAGGGCATATAGGGGACGCGATGGAAGGGCTTTCTATCACTCGCTGGAATGTATGGTGACCTTGGTCTTTCGTCCTGGTCTGCAATCGACCTGCTATTTGTTGGACTGTTTTGTGGATGTTGTCAGTGCCGCCCGTTGCAGTGACTGCTCCATTGCGAATTCCCTATCGCTTTCGCCATCCCCTATATCATCCTTATCATGACTGCCTCCCCTTTGGAAGGGTCTAACTAACCCTTGACTCTCCTGCTGCCCAACTTCATTCATCCTGCCTACTGTACTCCATGTGCTGCAAGTGTGGTGTTTAGCAGATGGGGGTATGGGCACTTCTTGCTCAGCCAGATGAACACGGGAAACAGAATAAGAGATGAAAGAAAAATGCAAGCAGTATGAAGGAAAAAAGAGAAGAAAAGGTCTGTGTCTTTTTTCTCCTGTGTCTTTTTTTCTCCTGTGCCTTTTCCTCCTTCCTGTCTGCTATTTTTTTCCGAACTTGTTTCGTAAATGCACTAATGATTCAGCAATGTGTGTCGATAATACTCTATATCTATCCGCAAAATTCAAACGTAGTTGAATTCAGCGAATCCGGCTGAACTGCCCAATATGCCACAAACCAAACTAAAATTCCTTTAGCAATTGTGAAACTGAGTTCTTTTGTAAACAAGTGGATGGTCCGTTCAAACCATCAATACGTGCCATACATCGGCCGCGGGCCGCTTTTGGTGGCCGCCCGCCGTCAATGTATTTTATCAACGGCGCACGAGCCTCCAAAATTTTTGGACAAGGTCGATCGGATCCTCAACTTGGCTGGGGATATGACCTGGTAGTGCTTTAAACAAAACAATTTGAGTGCACCATCTTCAAAATCATTTTGAAACAAACGGTCCACATTGGGAAGAAATGACAACAAAATACACATCCCCTGGTGAACCATCAGTACAAAAAAGACAGCAGGGGAGTCAGAGTGGGGTGAACCTTCTCATTGGACTTTCACCGATTTATCTGGAGTTTTGCAGATTATATTCTAGCGACTTTGTGACGCTGGCATGCTTCCAGCTTGGCTGTACAGTTTCAATTAGCAAGAGGAATAATGCTGTCTTTTATGCATTATTACGAAGTACTGAACAATGACAAGGGTACAGTTGGACTGTGCGCAGGGATCTGTAATTCTTCATTGTGAGATAGGTAGGGTGACTCTCATGCCATTCACTGCCCCCAACAGTGGCCGACGACTGGCTGTGAATCAAGTAGCAACAATTACACAGTCATGTATCAGGTGCGTATCCACCAGCTGAGCCAGTGTCTTCACCAATATCTTGGCTCGAATTGCAATGGCGTCAATCTGTGCCGTGGGAGACTTTCTGAGCTTCGACCATTACAACGCGTCACATTGGTGAGGCATCGGAGTACGCTTTCTGGAGCAGCTGTTGCTTCTTCATCGGGAACAGCCCCAGAGTATGATGCAGACGTGGCAGTGATCGGTGGGGGAATTGTGGGCCTGGCAACGGCACGGGATATTCTTGGCCGGTATCCGGACGCCCGTGTCACAGTGGTCGAGAAAGAGTCGCAGGTGGCTCAACATCAAACCAAGTACAACAGTGGGGTTATCCATGCTGGAATGTACTATAAGCCAGGTTCGTCAATGGCACGATTATGTGTGGAGGGCGCAAAGAAGATGTACAGCTACTGTGAAGCAAGACAGATTCCACACCGCCGGGTGGGAAAGCTCATAGTGGCGACTCGCGATGAGGAGCTCCCGCTTCTCGATGATGTGTATCGTCGTGGGCAGGAGAACGGTGTGGAGGGGCTTGAGATCATTGACGCTGACCAGATACGCAAGCTCGAACCGAACGTGATTGCACTGCGTGCTCTTCACTCACCAAACACAGGAATTGTGGACTTTGAGACAGTTGCCAAGAAAATTGCGGAGGATGTCGTTGAATCAGGACGGGGGGTAATACGTACAGGCTTCGAGGTCACGCGCATAGGTACTTCACGACAGGAGCAGGGGGTTGCACTCTGGGGTCAAGGAATCAGCTCTCCATTACGCGCCAGGTACTTGATCACCTGTGCAGGGCTGCATGCAGACACCATCGCCCAGCTGGCTGGCGGTGCAAGAGAGCCTATCATTACTCCATTTCGAGGTTCGTATCAAATACTCAAACCTGAAGTTGCTAATATTGTTGAGCGCAATATTTATCCGGTTCCAAATCCCAAGTTCCCGGTCCTGGGCATTCACTTCACTCCCAAAATGGACGGAAGGATGCTGCTCGGTCCGAATGCAGCACTGGCACTAAGCCGTGAGGGGTACAAATTCTGGCAGCTCAATCCGAGAGAGTTTTTCGATTATGCAATGACCCCAGGTGTCGTGCGACTCGTCCTCGGCAACCTCCGGGTCGCGTTCCATGAGATCTGGCGTGAGTTAAACCCCCGTGCTTTTATTGCTGAAGCACAGAGGTACTGCCCTTCTCTGAAGGTGGGTGACACGGTACCTGGGAAAGGTTTGTCAGGCGTTCAGGCCAAAGCTGTCGACAGAGATGGGTCCCTGATCGGGGACTTCGTTTTTGAGAAGGCATCTGACTGTGTGCTCAATGTGCGCAACGCGCCTTCACCTGCTTGCACGGCTTCTCTGGCGATCGCATCCGACGTGGTTGACCGTGTGGTGCAGGACTTCTCTTGGGGTCCTGAAACCTTCCATCCTAAGAAGCATTCTTGATTCCCACCTCCCCCAGCCCGTCGATTGCATAGCTGTTTACACAGAACACCTTTCCTGTCCTGCCCAAAATTTCTTTGGCTTGGTTGCCGGGTGGTGGTGCACTACGAAAACCTCGCGCACAAACTGGCAGGGGAAAAGACGAAAGAAGGTGGTTCGCGGCATATGCCCATGTTAGGACTTTTTCAAAGGATTCATAGGCAGTTGGACACATCTACGTCCGGCCGTAATTGCAGTCAGAAGCCATCAGAATCATGATCAGATACATCTAGGAAAGCCCTCCCTAGCATGAGTATACTCTCAAACACCACCATCACCCCAAAAACGACAGTGCCACAAACACACACCTTATGCGCAGCTCATTCGACAAAGCCATCTGGGATTCTATACTGTGAGCTACTCGGTTCTGCAGTCCCTTTTGGTCACCAGGGGCATTGCTGCAGGAGCTGAACCTTACAGCACCAGCTGCACAACAACCTTCGCCAGCCACCTAGATTTTTTATCTGATGGCCACAGGGTTCTTTCTCTGGTACCATTTCGTGGGAGGTAGTGGTGGCTTCAGCGCAGAACTTTGTTGTTGCGGATTTCAGCCTTCCACTCCTAGACGATGTTGCTCGAAGCCCAGATGTTGAACAGACATGTGGCAAGGATTCTAGACATCATAAGGCAATTGGGGGTCAAACGGCTCTATTGTATCTGAGCCTGCATTTCTGGTCTGGTCTTGTTTAGACTTCTCTTTGATTACACCCAGTGACACCTGATCATGTTGTGATGTGTAGTTATTCTCTTCAATTTGAACAGGGAAAGGAAATTTGTGGTGATAGGTAGTAGTTAGGGGGCCTTTGATGGCTGAATCGAACTGATCCACTGAGCCAATGGGTTGGTGTTAAAGGTGTGATTTGAATCCATCTCCTGGGCGCACTGCTGCTAAGATGGAGGTCAGTGACTGACATTGGCCAGTTGACCTTTGATGCGCAAACTGAACCAATCTCCTGAGTGCACTGCTGTTAAGGAGTTAGTCGATGATTGGCACTGGGACACTGGCCCATCGCGCATTGCAGGATAGCGGGTTAGGGTGGTCTGGTCATTTGTGACCTGAAAGTGGTTATGGTCATCGCACACATGCATTCCATTGTCTGTTGCAACCTTTGTTTGCTGCAGCAGCTGCTCTATGTTTTGGGTTTTGGTCATCTTATGTCTAGAAACCAGAGAACACAGGAGTGGTGGACGGAAAGGTGCATATCAGGCTGCGGCCTGAGGTTTGTGCATTATGTGACCTTGGTCATTGCAGATGCTATGTCGTTGGTATCTCCTGCGATAAAATCTGAGGTGTCTTTACCGCGCCAACTTTTCTCACATTGCAGGGGTTTGCTTGTGACTGGTACAACTAGCTGTAGTTCAAGCGGATGACAGATAGATTTAGATAGATAGACAGATAGCTCTGTGTGTGTGTGTGTGTGTGTGTGTGTGTGTGTGTGTGTGTGTGTGTGTGTGTGTGTGTGTGAGAGAGAGAGAGA